CTCTCCGTTTTTCGCAAGAGTAAAGTGGCCGTCAGTGTTGTCTCTGAACCCTAAACCCTAGACCCTAGACCCTAAAGCAGAGGGTGGGAGAGGGTCGCTGCGGAGCCTATCGGAGGTGTTCTCTCTCGTTGAGTAACGCTGCTGCAAACCCTCAACTCTAAACTCTGAAGCAGGGGGTGGGAGAGGGTCGCTTCAGAGCCTGTCTGAGGTGTTCCGGATCCTCAAGGAACGTCTGAACACTATGCGAACCGGCTTCGAAGATGAGGTGACCCCCGGAGCATGTTTTCTTCCCTTCTGATTGTTGTTGGTGTCAACCCTGCCAACTTGCGTCAACCCTGTCAACTTGCGGGGAAAAGCCCGAGGGAAAAGCAAAATGGTGCGCCCGAGTAGACTGAGACTTGGCGGCGGTGTTCCGGATCCTCAAGGAACGTCTCAACACTATGCGAACCGGCTTCGAAGATGAGGTGTGCCCTACACCTTAAACCCTGAGCCCTAAACTCTGAACCTCGAACCCGAACCCCCCTGCTTCTTTGTGGTTCAGTTGCACGTGGAGCATGTTTTCTTCTCTTCTGATTGTAGTTGGTACAAAGCGCGTCTTGATAGTAATGTAGGTATTACGAGGCGTGTTGCCTCAACACTATGCGAACCGGCTTCGAACCCCAAACGCTACGCTTTAAACCCTGAACCCTACATGTTCTATGTTTTGAACCCTACATGTTCTATGTTTCCCTGAACCCTACATGTTCTATGTTTTTCTGGTTGGGTTGAGCACACCATGCGCACCGGCTTCGAGGACAAGTCCCTAAACCCTAAGCACTCAACCCTAAATCCTAAACCCTACACCCTGAACCCCAAACCCTAAACCCTGAATCCTAAATCCTAAACCCTGAAGCCCGCACCCGAACCCCCTGCTTCGTTGTTGTTCGGTTGTATGTGGTTGTGTGTATGTACAGACACCCTCGCGCCCCCTCCCGCGAGATGAACGGCAACTATGAGCCCCCCCCTCCCCTCCCCGATGAACAGCAGGCCTCTGCCCCCCCTCCAACCCTCTCCCCCTCTCTCTCCTCAACCCTCCCCCCCTCTCTCTCTCTGACCCTCGACCCCGTGATGCAGGTGGAGGGGTTCAAGGAGGTGCTGGTGCTGGTGACCAGGGACCGTGCGGAAGAGCGGGACACCTCTCTCTCTCTCTCTCCAACCCTCCCCCCCTCTCCCCCTCTCCCCATTTCACCCTCTCTCTGTCACCCTCGATCCCTCTCTCCGACCCTCGATCTCTCTCTCTATCCCTCTCTCTCTCCAAGCCTCTCCCCCTCTCTCTGACACACCCTCGATCCCGTGATGCAGGTGGAGGGGTTCAAGGAGGTGCTGGTGCTGGTGACCAAGGACCGCAAGGAAGAGCGCGACACTCTCAACAAAGCCGCCGCCAGTCTCCGCCTCCAGGTTTGAGGGTTGTGAGTGTGTGAGGGAGCGACATACAGACAAGAGAGAGAGTGGGTGAGAGTGAGTGAGTGAGTGAGAGAGTGAGAGAGTGAGAGAGTGAGAGAGTGAGAGAGTGTGAGAGAGAGAGAGAGTGGGAGAGAGAGCGATAGAGTGAGTGCGACACCCTCAACAAAGCTGCCGCCAGTCTTCGCCTCCAGGTCCCAATTCTCAAACCTCGGACCTCCCTGAAACCTCGAACCCTCAACAATGCCGCCGCCAGACTTCACTTCCAGGTTCTGTTTCAGGGTTAAGGGGGGTTATGTTTTAGAAGTTCGCGGTTTCAGGGTTGTGTGACAACGTCGTCTCCAGGTGCTTCGGGCACAGATCCTGCAACCCCACCACCTAGACCCTCTCTTCGTTGATGCGTCCGTGGTCTTGCTAACAACCAACAAAAAACACCGCCCACCCTCCATCAACGCCCCCCCCCTCAACCCTGAAACCCCTCAGAACTAAAACCTAAACCCCTTGCGACCCCTGGCAACCGCTGGAAGGATCAATCACGGCGTTGGTCAACAGCGGGCAGTGACCTCCTCCCTCCCACCCTGAAACCCCACAGAACTAAACCCATACCCCCGCTAACCGCAGGAAGAATCAATCACTGCGTTGCTCAACAGCACCCCCCCCCCTAAACCCAGAAACCCCTCACCACTTTGGACGTGATGGTGGTCAATCAAAAGTCAACTCAAGGGCAAGCTCCAAGATATTCTTGGAAGTTGGCAAACGTTGACGTTGCGGCCAGGGGTGGGTTGACTTTTGCGATTACCTCCTCTCAGGTCTAGCGTAGTCATGCAAAAAGCTAACGCCAGCGAGGTACTTAGAGCCTACGGATTGCCTACGGTAGGAGCCCCCCTCCTACGACGTTTCAAGTCCTTGTTGTTTTCAACGTCGTAGGAGGAGGCGGGGTTCCTACCGTAGGCTAAGGGGTCCGCTGGCGTTAGCTTGTGGCATTAGCAGGACCTAACCCCTAAATGGCAACCGCAGGAGGAATCAATCACGGCGTTGCTTAACAGCGGGCAGTGGCCGACGAGCACCAGCCAGCTCCTAACCGACGCCACCAGCCACATGAACCAGCTCTGCGGCCTGGTCCGTACCATCATGCCGTCGCTCTCCTCACTCCTCGCTGCCGACAGCGCCACCTCGGTAACCCGAACCACGTCATGTCACACGTGGGAATTGCATACACACTCGTTCGCGATAGATGGCTTATCCTGGTACAAATTCTTTTTTAAAAACGTTATACCCGCGGCGAAGAGCTCCAATTCTCAACACTTTTGGCGTGTTTCCCGGGTAGAATCAACTTGACTTGAAGATTATGTAGTAAAAATAAAATATCCACTGATGACGGAAGTGCGGCCTGATCCGTACCATCATACCGTCGCTGTCATCGCTCCTTGCGGCCGACTCTGCCGCTGCTGTGCCTAACCCTCCACCCTATCCCTTAACCCTCAACCCTAAACCCTAAACCCTGA